AAATTTAATCAATACTAGGACAGTTTGAAAAATTTAGAAGGCGATGCACATAATCCTGTAATTAAACGAAAATTTCTTCGCCAATTTAATATATCATCTGTCATAAACACATACATTTTTTTTATTATGATATGTTTGTCAGCTGCTGTTTACCAGTCGTTTAACACGTTGATTGCCACGCGAGTTAAATACAACTTGTTTGTACAGTATTCTTCGTCGCCGCGCGAGATGTATTTAATTTCGCAGTAGGTTTGATTCTAAGGCCATGTTAAAGTAGACGTGTCTGTGCAGGTTTATAAGATGGAAAGACACGAGTATCGTTCTGTGATAAAATTCTTTAGTTTTGAATATTTATCGGCTACATAAATGTATACAAAGATGGTAAAAAATTATCTCCAAAACAACGCACCAGCTCACAAGAGTGTTTTAACCATGGAAAAGTCAACAAATAAAGCATATAATAACATTACATAATATCTCATCTGGATAACGAATAACGTAAATATATATGGTAAACTAATTATCAAATTCATGCTCGAGAAAATTAGCAAAATAATTGGATTATTTTATTAATTTATTATTTGAACAGCTTAAATCTATCTGTTTTGTTATAAGCCAATAAACAAAGTTTATGTTAAATGGATGTAATAAATTAATGAATAATCATATAATTAACAATCGATTTATTTATATAATAAAATTTGTATATACTAATTGATAATTAAAAAAAAACTATAGTAATATAGTTAATGAAAATTAACTCAACAACTAAAAGCAATAAAAATTATAAATAAATAATTACATAAATATATTTATTATAAATATTAAGTAAAATGATATTTATTTGTAATGATAAATGTATTTATTCTATTGCTACGTTTTCATTCCAATCGATTTCCTTCCAAAGTTTCAGAATGACTCATCAATTCAAGGACTTCTTTCAAAATTCCGTCTATTATCACGATGATCAATTTTGGTTTAGCTTCTTATACATCATTTTGGATATGAATTTCAATAACATATATGAAATCTATTCGTTATATTAGTTCAATTGCTCCATGACAGCCTCAGCTCAAATCTCTTTCTCAAACAGAAAAACATGATCGATCACTTTTGCTGTTGCTTTAGAAACGTGATTTCTTTCAAGAGACGTTATCCGATTTTAAGTTAATAAGCTTTTCTAAATCAAATATTTAAGTACTAATTACATTCATACCTCAATTAATGAATAGAACGAGTTCTACAAAATTGGATCAATACTTTGTTTTAAGAGATAAAACATACTATATCTACAATTCTACTAAATTAAAAGTTAACCTTTAAAAATATTAATCTAAATTTGATTGTTTATTCCTTTTCTGTTTAGTTGCCAATTGCATATACTATGTTATTAGTATTTGTCGGTTTTTCAGAAGAAATTTATGTAATTGGAAAATCAAGTATAAAAACATAAAAATGTCGACACAAAATCGTCTCTCTTCATTAAATTTTTGGTCAAATGTTATAAAGATTGTATCCAAATTATTAAATAGAATATGACTACAATGGTGAAAAAGCGGCGAAGAAGAAAAATATATCAATTCACAACTATCTTCAAGAACCTGAAGATGTAAATTTACAAAGAGAAGGATAACTTTCACTTTGTCTTCGTTTCAACAAGATTTTCTAATTTTTTCAGTGAAAAAAACATCATCTTCTGCATTCAATACATTTCAAAACCCATTGATTGAGCCGCATAGTTAACTTCGTTATCTTCTAGTACAACTTCTGCTGATTTTTTTCAGATGATTGTTGTTCCAAAATTTCTAACTTCATTATATAAACGCTTTGTTATCTGAGATAACGTTATAAAATATTTACAGTACACATAGGCAAATGCAAAAAAAAAACTCTCAAAAAATGAGATCATTAAGCTTGGATTTTCGGAAGTTGTGTAGGGAAACAAGACCGGAAGAATAAAGCAGGGCCAGTTGTTTGGATATGGGGGGTGACATTAAAAAAATAGTGCTTTTTAATTTTGAGACCCCAACTAATATAAATTTGGGTGCCCCATATTTCGCGGGGCTCTCGGCATTTGCAAAGTCAGAGTAGAAAGACTGTGCTTTCTGGAAAGATTGATGGGCTTTAGGGTTTTTCGGTTTTTAAAACCAGGTATTTGAGACTAGACTCAAAAAATAAAAATTAATGAATTATTTTAATTATAACTTCAAAAAGTGAGATTATTAAACTTCTTGGACAAATATTATCAATATCAAGATTATATCCAAATTATTAAAAAAGGCAAAGAAATTCATAAATATCTTCAAGAACTGACTTTGGCCTGCTAAAAAGGAACAATTTAGTTGATTATTTAATGCTCTAAAGACGATTAAACCCAGCTTGATACCAAGTGAGTTTCTTATATTTCTGGAAAGAAAAGGATTTGTCTGAGCAATAGAAAATTAGTTGTATAAATCCTTTTGCTCAATTTTTTTTGTGAAAATTCGAAAACCGGTTTAAATCGGTTTTGTAGAAAAGTTAAAATTCGAAAACCGGTTTTAAATAAAGTAGGTTTTTGTTTAAATCTTAATGGGCTTGTATCGCCAGTTTTTGATCGTGCTAATTAACATCAACCAAAGAACTCAGGTATCCTCAAGGGTGTTGTTTAGAACATGAAGAAATACATGCGAGTCTCCCCGACTTTAACATAAATTTCTTTCGATTGTAAATAAATTTATATTATGTAACTCAAGATATAACTCTACAGCATATATGGAAATGCTGATACTTATACTTTTATATATTGAATAAAAATAAACTTTAAAGATATTTATAAATAAAAATTAATTTGTGCTTTTAATTTATAATTTTTATATTGCAGTGTATGTTTTATTATATTTCATAAATTATTATGATAATGAAATATATTTATTGAAATAACTACAAAAATATTGCTTTTACAACTATTTTAAATAATATTAAGAAACATCAATAATAAAATACGTCTTTAATAATTAGAATTATCAATAAATAAAATTATTGTATGTATGTGAAGAGTGGGAAAAGCAGAACGTTTTATTTTTAATTTAATGTAAATCGAAGTAGAATGTAATATGAAGGAATTTAATACAAAATCAATATCGTGCCATTTATTGGCGGAACGCCAGGAAATGGGAAAACAATCTGGAGGAACTTTCAGGCATCAATCAATCAATTGGTGTACGCTATTAATCTCGTATATTCTCGTCGTTCTCTCACTCGCACTTTCGCGTACGGCCATTTAACCTTTCGAGTGTCTTCGTATCCTTGTTTTCATCGCTGAAAATAAAGGGAAAAAAGGTTTTGCAATGGATCGTCCAAGTGGTCTTGAATTTGAGTGGACTTGAAGCAATCGATTGTCATTAGCATTTCATCTCTAAAATCGCTCTCGGATGGGCGGATGAATCCGGTGGTGATAGAGTGAGGTAGGATGAGGAGTGGTGTTTTTTGGCAAGCATTTTTGTTTATCTCGTTCGAGCCAGAAAAGCAATTTAAATGATAATTAATTAATTAAAAGCAAAATATGTGGAAGACAAATTGCTTTGACGGCGGCGATAATGTGTTTATGCTTCACTTTTAATTTCATATTATATTCTTTAACTTTCATCTAAACTACACTACACAATATTCATCGTATAAAATAAAACAATTTGTTTTACAATAAATTATCATATTAATTGATTCTTCTATTAATTTTATTCAACAGTAAAAATCTTAATTATTACAGCTAAAAACTTGATATTTTTCTTAATATAACAAAATTATTTTTTATTGTGAATATGTTTCAATCTTCTATAAATCTTTTGAAAACATTTACAATTCTTTAAACAGTAAATATATTATATTTATCATAATTTGAATGTATATATGGCAAAACACAGCCAATAGATAGTTATCAGTAATTCAAAATATGTTACAACATATGAGTTGTTTGAATAATTATTTCTGATATAGTTATCAGTCAATTAACGCGCAATGTGTAAGAAATCTGCATAAAATTCATGATCACTAAACCTTATTTTATAACTACTTTGTAGATAGCAAGTAGATTATAGTTTACTTCTGCTTACCGGTACATTTTGACAATTTTGTAAATTTTAGTTTGAATAAAAATGAGGAAAACCCAAATAATATTTACTACTTCTAATAGCCAGTTTTTTACTTAAAATATTTACCGGTAAAAGCAAATCTCGGTCATTTTCAACATCTTACTTGTTTTAATACAATTTTCTTGTCAAATTACAACACAGGTAAGGAATATTTAATACATCATCAAAATAATACAAATACTTGATTGTATGCAATAAAATTTATTTATTATTAATAATTATTGATTTTGCACAAAATTGATGATATAATTACTAAATAATAATAGTTATTACAACAGCTACACATAATTTAAAGAATGTAAAATATATGCGTATGGATAATTATAAATATACTTCATCTTACTTTAGTGAATCATGTGAAATAGTTAACAAGTAATATAAATATTAATTTCATGTTTTACTTCTTTCTATTTTGGTAATATAAAAGCACTCTTATAAATTTAATAGAATTATAGGAGAGAAAATTTAGTGTTAATAGAGAACCCTTTGACTGAAATTAGAGGCAATAAAGATTAATAAATAAATACAACTATAAAAATTTGATATATTTTCATTCTCAACAAAAAGTGTTCAAATATTATTAACGAAAATTGATTTGAAACTATTTATTCAGCTCTATAAATAAGTGAACGTTCACCCTAATCGACCATGTCTATATCGAAATTCCAACAATCAAATTCCCGATATTCGAAATCCTAGAAGTATCAAAATCCGGACATCAAAACTAAAGTTCCTGTTGTTCGGTTGCGGACCAAAAAGTTTGAGAAATTTATATACCATATTTTTATAGTGATTATTTCTAGTTTGAGTTTTATATATAAGTAATGAAGAAGAGGTAATTAAAAATTGATTAGTTGCAAGCGGTAGTATTACCTGTAGTAGTTAAGAACTTGGGCGAAGACCCCTGGATGCCGGTCGAAGAAGTATTCGTTGAGGATAGGATCATAATTGGCAAGCGCCTCGGTAAGCCTGGAGAGCCGAGTGGCCGGAATCTTCTTCAGTGTTGCCTTGTAAGTCTCGTGTCTTATACCACCCACGTTCAAAACCACCCGGTTCTCGGCGTCCATGTTGATTAGATTCATGGCTGAAACAAAAAAAAAAACAAAACCATAAATAATAATCACAAGAAAGGACACCGTAAATCCAGCACGCTACAACCAAACGAAAACACATAGTTTGCTTTTTGTAACTAAAGGCTTTGGTATGAAGAGGTCTAGTAGTCCAGCACTCTCCACGATTCCCGCGGCCGTTTAAATTATTCAGAGGCCGCCCCCGTCCTTTCAACTTGTTCAAACACTATTTAGCTCTGTGAATGGGATCCAAATAATAAGCTTCGCATTTCAGATGAACTTTTAATCATCATCATCATCGCCGGAGCCTTCTGCACTTCATACACTCCGCACCCCTAATCCACTTTGACCGCGAATTTATTCATACGACATTTCGAAACTCGCCACCTAACCACTCGAGCATTTGTATTTTCCCTTTGTTCTTGCTAACCTTACCAATTAATACTATATATTCAGAGGGATTCGAACCGTTCAGCTTAGTTTCCATACATCCCTTGATTACCGTGTTTGTTTATGGATGTGAAGATTTAACATGGGATTTCATTGCTCAATAAAATATTTCCATATAAATGAATTTTATTATAAATTTTAATATACTATATGTAATTATTATGTAAACTAGTCAACAATATGGAATGACAGCTGTCAACAACCAATCACTATCAACAAAACGTTAAAAGTCAAGATCTTGTATTTGGTACAAATGACAGTTACTTATAACTCAATCATGATCTCAAATATGACAGTATTTTACCAAATTGGCAGAATGTCTATGATCATTTGCCCTTTGACCAAAAATGGACCAATATTTTTTTAATATTAATGTAACCAAATTATAACATCAACAAAGGAATTTATTGAATGTACAAACAGAAAACACAAATATATAATAACTTGAACTAAAAATTGATATCTCTTGCAAAACTTGAGAAAAGTTAGAAGTCCACAAACTTTAATAAAACTTCAATCATCATAAAAACAAGTTATATTTTTCAATTTTTTATTTACTTTTATAATATGTCCTTATATACATTATAAAATCCTGTAGGATCTGATACTTCACAAATAAATTACAGTCTGGTGCTTTTGAAACCTGACCTATCAGCAGCAGTTTGTCTTCTACATCATTGCTACTCAACAAAATGTCTTTTTTTATATGATGTATTTTATATGTATATGAAGACTCGTAGTCCGTTGTATACAAACGTCTTTCATATATTATAATAATTATTCCAATAAAAAGTGAAGTCACAGTCACTTTATTATATACTAAATTAATGTAATTGAATTAGTTTAATCAATATATACTAATTACATAATTTAGATCTTATATAAGATATTTTTTTTCAAGAACGATTAAGTGGGAGTTCCGGTAAGTAATGGGGGGTCGCAAAAAAATTGATAACAGGTCAATTCTGGATGTTTTTCTATACATACCAATTCTTTGGGGAGTCCTTTAAAATGTTTAAGTGCAAAAGGGGTTTGCGAACCAAAAAGTTTGAGAAACACTGAGATAAACCGTAGGAACATTGACAAATGTTGTTTAACTTTTGTAGACTGTCAGATGTAAAATCTACAATATAAAAATGTATTGCAGTCAGTTAATGATTCCTTTGCATGCAAAATATTCAAATTTCTGTCACAAAGACCGTATTGATTTCCGGATTTCCGCGGGGAAAGAAAGTTACCCGGATTTATAATTTATTCAAACGCATATAAAAAAGGAATGAAAGAAAGCTTGTTCAAAAATTCCCTGAATCTGACAAGCAACAAGCGACCAGGAAAAAAAAACGGAACACCGGTTGGGGTCGAGTATTCGGCGTGGGGAACGCGAAATAAATCGGTACAGAACGACATTATATAACCCCCCACACATTTTTTTTATATTTATACATGTTGTTTTTTCTCTCTCTTTTTCTCCACAGCTCTGACGTTTTCTCCTTTTCTTCTTTTATACACACACACGTACGTGTATTATTTGTACTTTCCTCTGTTATTTATTTTCCTCTCTCTTTTTTCCGGCGAAAATCTATATGTACGTTGGGGACCTTGCCGAGCAAATCCCGTTCCACTCAGTGTTGTAAGTCCTCGTCGGCAATCAATACTCTGGAGATGCGATATGATTTGGCCCATGATTTATCCATCCACTGTCACATTTCCTTCCTTCTAGCCTTCTCTTCTCTATCCCTCTCATTCTTGGTTTGTTCGGCCTCTCCATTTTCGAACAACCCCCCGCCCCCCGCAGAAACTATATAAAGAAAATGTACCATTCCGGATGGAGAAACGCTCTTTCATCTATCACAACCGAAATAAATGGGACGAGAAAATTGATCGAATAAACCCAAATGAAAAGGAGGCCTAAATTCCTTCCTTCCTAAGATCCGTTTAAACGTGAGAATATTTTTTAAATTATATTCGTGTACACTAGACGATAATTGACAAATAACGTATATTTTTCATATATATTGCAATAAAAATGTGCAACCATATATAATAAGATTTTTAAATACTTTGATTATTTTGAGATTATTAAAGTATTGACAGCAACATTTGAAAATAATTGAATTTGATCTACAAAACGCATTCTCAGAAAGAACTGAATCTAAATATTTAGAAAACTGTTCTGCCGAGTCTAGTTTTAATAGGTAATATAAAAATACTGCTTGATAAGAAATTATTAATTAAAAAGTTCCGGTAATTTACTGGTACTTGAAATTTTGAATGCCCTAGTTACATGCTATTTAAAAAATATCGATGGATGAGTGTGCTTCACGGCACTCCTTCGATTCTCTCATGGCAAACCGTTCTTGATGAACGAACCACATATCTTTGAAATTTTTCACCATTTATATCATTATTTATTTGGTTGGCTGACACTTAAATCTGATTCATCTCGTAACCAAAGTGAACGTCTTACCATTAGACCATGGATATAATGAATATGTTTTGATATATCTTTTAACCTTTTTATCTATTGCATCATCACCCGGGACCTCTCCCAAAACTATTTTTTTACACATAGACCAACCAACCACCAGAATATATCTTAAAGTACCTTTAACTTTTTAAGAGAAATATAGTACAAAGGTACACAATAGAGCTTGTGATATTAACCGGGATTTCTCGCAATCTAAACCATACCCATACCCATCATACCCATAGACCAACAATCTAGATGAATGTATCTTTGAAATACCTTACCATTTATCTCATATATGGGTAATAGAACAGTTATATTATTGGTTTGTTTCGGATTTGAATCTAATTCATTTCGTAATCAATGACACCAATGACACCATTAGATCACGAAGATAATTAATTATATCTTTTGTATTATCACCTACTAAAAGATGCGTTTGTGGGCTCGTCCGGGATTTGAACCCGGGACCTCTCGCACCCGAAGCGAAAATCATACCCCTAGACCAACGAGCCAGATGAAGATATCTTTATGTCTCTTTTTTTGCTAATTTATCATATATTGGTAAAAGATACACTGTTGGCTTGTCTTGTACTTGAATCTTGATATCTAACGAAAAGAAATCGTAACGGAATATATTTTGATATATCTATTTATCTTTTTTCTAAGAACCTCTCAACCAAATCAAAATTCCTACACATACAAACGAATGATGTAAATGTATCTCAAGTAACCTTAACTTTTTTCCATTTTTACCAATGCTTAGTATCTCGAACGACCCTAAGAGAAAAATGATCTGCAACTTTTTTGGAGTAAAGTCATTTTAAAGAATGTTGCTACTAAAATAAAATCGCACACAGTGACGAGCAAGCAACCTGTCCTATCCAGAGAAACAATAGATTATTTAATAATGAAAAGTACGGCAATAATTCATCAAAAGAGCCGCAGATTGCCGACCTCTATCTTGACCAACAAACCAGATAAAGATATCTTAATGTAATTTTATTTATTTTTACCATTTATATCATTCATTGGTAAATGTTAACTTAATATTGCTAAGAATTGGATCTATTTTCATCTTAAGGCCAGCATTAATAGACCATCAAGATAATGAATTATGTTTTGATATATCTTTTAACCTTTTTATCTTAAGTATTATCATTTAGTAAAACATACAATGTGGGCTCGTCCGGGATTTGAACCCGGGACCTCTCGCACCCTAAGCGAAAATCATACCCCTAGACCAACGAGCCAGATAAAAATGTCTTAATTTGTCTTTTATTTTTTTATCATTTTATTAAATATTGGTAAAATTTTCATTGTTGGCTTGGCAGTGATTCTGAGATATTTCGAAATTCAGGAGAAAATCATACCATTAGAACATAGCTTTGATTTCCTACACATAGACCAACCAACCAGTTGAAGATATTTCCAGAAATTTGAATGTGATTTCCTTTCTATTACATAATGGTAAAAGATACACTGTAGTCTCGTCTTTGATAATAACCTGGACCTAGTTCCATAAACGATAATTATACCCCTACACCAGGGGTCACCAAACTGGTCGCTATTGACCCAGACAAAAATTAGAATGATTTCAACCAAAATTGTTACGCTTGTCCTATTATTATTACGTCATAGTTAAATGGGGGCTAATAAACGTAAAAAAAATATTGAAGGTGTCGACGGTCAAATAAGGTTTGCGACCCCTGTCCTAGACCAACAATATGAAGATATTTTTGAAATGTTTTACCATTTTTCTCATTTATGGTTAAAAGAAGCATTATTGGTTTATTTGGGTGTTGAATTTATTTAATTTCATATCCAAAGGGAAAATCAGTTCGACCACGAAGATAATTAATTTAATTTTGATATATCTTTTAACCTTTTGTAACCTAGTAAAAGATATGTTGTGGGCTCGTCCGGGATTTGAACCCGGGACCTCTCGCACCCTAAGCGAAAATCATACCCCTAGACCAACGAACCAGATGAAGATATTTTTATGTGTCTTTTATGTTTTTTTACCATTTATATCATATAGTGGTAAAATTTACATTGTTGGCTTAGCTGTTATTTGAGTCTGATATTTCGAAAATT